AAACACATCTGACTAACCTCTAGAGCAATTAATTCGTCTCCGAATCCCACAAGGGCTTTAAGTAGTAGTGTAGTGCGGTGTCTTCATGAACTATAGCGATACTTCCAAAGACGGGGTTTACTATTACAGAAAGATAGATCGCTGCCTTCCATCAAGGGACAATACGTAATCTTTGGCCAGCCACGCAAGAGCATATTACTTTTTTTCTGCATTGCAAATTTCATTGCGTTGGGATGTACACCTAGTCTGGCTTTACATGTCTTGGCACAATGCAATCAAACGTCCAGTCCCCTGTGGATGCGAACAAAGATTTCGTCGTGATTAATAATCGATCAATCTGACGAGATCATTAATGAGGCATATATTAGATATTCTTAGTAAGATAACGACTGATGCGTGACTGTTAAATATTTGCCCCATCAACTGTAACTGCCAGCTAATCCTGTTTCCTTCCTACAAAATCTGTAAGACCGTAAATCATGGGTTTATACTCAAAACATAACGTCAGAATACAAATATTTTGCAAATAGATATTATTGATTTGTAGCTGAATACGTATTTTTCAATCGGTCGTCAAATATCAGTGTTATTTCACTAGAGGAGTTCGTCTCTAACTACAACCTCATACGTATGTAAAATATTGACCTCTTCGAAATGGACATTCCTTCGGACGATCTGGGTCCACTTGATCAAAATACATATTACATAGCCATGTGTAATTGTGTAATTGACAGCACAGTAAATGCCATACATAACTTAATAAGAGCATTATAATTATAACATTTACAATATCTATAGTGATTACCTTGCAGCAGGGGCGGTGGGATAGTAGAGTAGTTAAAGTGTTTGCTCGTCACGCCGAAGAGCCGTGTTCGATTCCCCGCATGGGTACAATATGTGAAGCTCATTTCTGGTGGCCTCAGACGGATATTGCTGGAATATTGCTAAAAGCGGCGTAACACTGAAAACTCACGCACCTTTTAGGAGAACAAAATGGTGATAAGTAAGTAAATTACTACAGATATTATTTTAGGCAAAAGATTGTTCATCAAGGCACAACACTTCACGAAATTATTCATTTCTTAAAATTTAAACATCAAAGTGCAGATGACATCAGTGAGACGCGGTATGGTTACGCCAAGCAGTTTCAAAACTTCCCGAGGCATCACTGAAGTGCTGAAACACGTTACCACTAATGTATTTTTAATGGTCACAAAAGGTCGTCGCTTAAAACGTCTTGTCTACAGAAACTGTCGCACTGAAGATTTTTCCAGAATCATCATCAAAGGGTAGCAGGGAGACTGATTTCTTCACAGACGGTTCGACGTAGAAGAAGGTCCCGAAAGGCGGGACTACGCATCCATGTTTATATCCCCACGTTGACAAAATACACGTTTGGCAGATCAGCATTGTAACAGGAGGATCAATCATCCGCGGCACGTAGACATGTCAAGATACGTTTAGACTGTAAGAACAACAGGGCAAGGCATTGTACAACAATGTAGTTTTCGAGGTGGATTGTGTGAAGCTGACTGGAAGGAATGACGTCAAATCGATCAGGTTATCGTCCGACAGGGTACCATCAAACGTGTCATATTTGATGCTTACACCTATCTGTCTTCGATTTATCGGATAACAACGCCCGTTCATATGGAGCACGTGTCATGAATGATGTCCTCAGTTTCACGTGAATGAGTGATTGAGTCTAGTTTTACGCCGCACTTAGCAATATTCTATCTATATGGCGGCGGTCTGTCAAAAATCGAGTCTGGACCAGACAATCCAGTGATCAACAGCATGAGCATCGATCTACGCAATTGGGATACGATGATATGTGTCAACAGAGCCTGACCTCCCGATATCCCGTTAATCGCCTCTGACAAGCATGGGTTACTGAATATTATTCTAACCCGGATCTTAACGGATCCTCAATGTCACGAATAGGACTCACTGAGGACCGTGCAAATGAACATGTTTGGGACACCCTTAAAGGCAAGTTCCATCCTCGATTATTTAGTTTATGTTGAGTGTGGAATGGTAGAACATTCTTTAGTAGGAGCTTGATTCACACATTTAGTCAATAACACGCTGGTGAGCAAACGCGTTTCTGGTGTATTGGCTATACACCGTAAGACGGAATTTTGTGAGATCAGAGTAGAGAAGGTCCTGGCCACATCTTCACAGCGATATAGGGGTAACCATAGATTGCCTTGTGGTATTCGTAGTAATAACATTTCGATACGTAAAGAAGACAATGCGTGCTCCCATTATAGGTCAAACCTGAGTGTCGCTCGATATCTCCGTTCGATCAAGCAATTTCTGTCCCGTTCTTTTTCCATTTCCCATGTTGACTTAAGCCGTATGTTAATCTGTTTTTTGGGGTGAATAACTGACTTGCTTTTTGCATGTGTTTGTCAGAAATGCTCACGATGGGACAGGGTACACTAACCTTTTCGCGAACACCTGTTATTATTATTTGATGGTTACTTATGAAAGTATTTTCATTCTATGGATATAACTGTAGAATCGATTCAGCTGTTGGCGGTGATTTCTTTTAATACATTCATTGAATGTTTTTTAGCCTTTATTTGTATGGAATCGATGAAAGACTTGGAGTTTGATGTCAATAGAACTAATTACACGAAACTGATTACAAGGAACTGCATGTAGAGCCAATGTCACACAACAGTGTATCTAACTGCCTTAATCTCACCTTTGTAAAAATCAGAAAGCTTAAGAACATCTTAATTATTTAGTTTCACTAAAATGTCGAAGTAAACCAAAGTAGCATCACAAACGTATTTGACAATTTGGCATTCGTTCAAATCTCAACGCAAGCTGTTGGACATGGGCATTTTTCCAGATGCAAAATATTTATGTATTTAATGTGTCGTAAACATTCCTATAAGCCAGACATAAATATACTCAATTGCGCTTTGGAACATAAGTGTCGGGTACTAGTGATCAGTTTTAATGCATGGTGACAATTTGACGTGATTTGAAGCCATTTGTTATTTGGAAAAAAGGGGGATATTGGTTAAAACCGATGGTCTGGTAATGTCAAGAGGAAGATGTTTAGCCCATGTTGGAAAATAGCAATCGATATTGTTTCCTTCGAAACTTTCATTCCAGAGATACGTTAATGTGGAGGAGAGCAGTGTTTTAACAAAAGGAACCCGCGTAGCAGGTGTTTATGGTTCCGAAGACTGATTCTTAAGTCCTGTTATGAATTGACGTTTCGGCCCCTCGCGGCACTCAAAAACAAACTAGGTCGTTCTGACCGTGTTGTGATTCTGAAATCATCTTGAGATCGTTAATAAGGCGGTCGCCATTTGAACTGTTAACACAATGATTGACAATCGACAATTTATAGTTTCAGAAAACTATTTGGCTTCGAATATTCATCAAAATGTGTGAACTATTGATATTTTATATCTTTAATGAGAAAAATAATTTTGTGTCGTTGAACCTCAGAACGCTATGCTCTACCGTCCATCACGTGATTTACCATGAAAAGTCAAACTTATTCATATCGCGTGAAGTCGCCTCTATTCTCAAGACAATCCCGGATTCGACGTGCTATACATCTAACAAACATCTTAGGTCGACATGGTTAATTCGATCCCATTCTTCGCTATGAGTGGTCGGTGGTTGTTGTCGGTGACGTCCTGTCCAAGGACAATCCAGATATAGTCGATTGGGAACAGGTTAATGCTAGCCATGGTAAGTGGTTATGTTTTCCTGTTGGACATATTCAGTAACATGCGAACCCTGCGTGCTCTTGAGGTGACAACCTGAACCATAAACGACGTCCATGTCGGCGCGCACAAGGCACAACGGGTACCGACAGAATGTTGCCATGAGGGTACTGCCCCATTGTCACGTTCGTGAATAACATATGACGGTGATTTCCTAGTCACGGTGATCCCACCGCACAGGGTTACCAATCCAACCACAAAATGATCGTTCTGTCCAGCGTTAACGACATGAAAGTGCTCATTCTGTCTACGCCACAATACGTTGCGCCTGTCAAGAAAGTCCAATGTAAACCTTGCTTCATCCGAAAGCATAACGTTTGACAGTTGGTCCAGCGCTACCGTATTTGACACCAACGACGTCTGGTAGTTACGTGACGGACCGTCAGTCGTAGGACACCACGTGGACGTCGGGCATGCTGGTTCCATCTGTGTAGCCGATTACAAGTCGTCTGTCTGCACTTGTAGTTTTTTAACACTTGTAGCTCGGTGAAAGGCATCTCCAATTTAAGACGCACTTTGACCACGGTTCGGTAACACGGTCGTTCTGATGAAGCGGTCTTGTGCACGAGCTGATGAAACGGTCTTGTGCGACGGCGTATGTCAAGAACGTTATTTGTCTGTCCATATCCTGAATGTAATTGTATAGTTGACTGCCCAGCACAATACTTTCTCTTGTTCCAAATAACAACATGCCAACTGCACTTAGCCGTTCCAGACATCAGAGGCAAAAACCGTATAATTGAGTTTAAAAAACTGGTCTGGTTTTTATCACTGAAATGTGCAACAACACAGTGACAGTGTAAGTTTTACCACGGCCATGTTAACATCATGAAATTGTCATGAAATGTTTACACGAAATTCATTACATGTGTTGAATGGAATAATCATTTTCTAAATCCACAACCACTCATAGAATCTGATTCCCATATAATATCAACCTAAAATGGAACATCCCCTACATTTTTAATACTATACATTTGCTTCGTGTATGACCGATTGTAATACCGATTGATAAAAGAGAATGAAAGAGAGTTATCAATCATGTCATCTAACAGAGTAAATAAATTTTACATGTAGTTTCGCATGATATCCAGATTGTATCCATATGTATCATTTTATGTCCTTTGCCCGTGTAGACGAAATTAGGATAGTATCATTGTTGAAGTATGCAACTGGTCATTCCAGAGCATCATGAACAGGAAACAATGACAGGGTTTTCACGATAGCCAAAGTTTCCCGCGAACAGCGTTATAACATGTGTCGGTGTCTGAGCATGGTTCTATATATACTAGTGTCATGTTGGAAAGCTCGGACAATTCTGAAACCAAGTACACCCTCTGAGACGTTTGATTGGCTGACGCCAACTATATGAAATACAACCCGCGGAAGTTATTGAGCGATGGAGAGCAAACTACACTGAAAGGCTAAACCGAGTTTCGTTGGCCACAACTGACTTCAAATAGGCTGGGATGTCGATCAGCCAGCGTACAGAGCACTGAGCCGTGATGACGCAAAGATGACGGACTGTTAGCTTCTTCTCCATTGCAGCCATCTGTAAGGTAAGACTTCATATTAATATTTCAATATCTACAACAGCGTAGACATTGGGAAAATCAATTCCGACGCTGCGATGTTGGTCCATTTGAACACATTCAATTACATCAAATCGAATAATGTTTTCAGTATAGTTGAGGGTTAGTCTTCAGGAGACTATTTTTTATATCTAAATACAGAGTAGGTGTGCTGATTGGTGCTTTACTTCCATTATCCTTGACTGATTTCACTTCAATGTAGATTAATTTAATGTTTATGTAAAACATTTCTCGTCACTATATGGCTGAAATATTGCCGAGGTGACGTTAAATTCTAACTCACTTACTCACTCACTTCAATGTAGATCGACCAGACAACTCAATATTGTACATATATATATGGACACGTAAGTATATAACATTAGATAAATGGTAGCGATCCACACGAGTGTGTGTCATAGAAAACGTACGCAATTGTTCGCATTTGAGGACTTGGGACTCTATGAAATATCATCATTCACAAGTATGTGTTGCATTAACGGAGTTAATCATTGGTGGCATTGTAAACCAATCTCTTAAAGGTAAACTTTTAAAACAAATGTATGAGCAGCATCATGATGAAACCACGATAATCCATGAGGAAAGAAATCGCAGTGGCAATCACGTAACGGGATCCATTTGGCGTTGGTAATCAATACCTTTCAGAAATAATTAAAGTGATGAAAGGTGGTGTTTTCAATAGCCTCGTTAACTAATTTAGCACTTTGAATCAGCCGACGTGCAAACGACATGCATTTGTACAGTGGAATCAATTTCATGGTATTGACATAGGAAACAAGGTAATTTCCTTCAGTGTTCAAAGAATTTCATCTAGTTCAGTCTAATCCATTCTCGGATGGAACACGTTCTAATTGGTATTTCATGATCTTTTCGTGGAGATCGATGCCATGATAAAAAACACACTTTTAATCCAAAAGGTCAGATGTGGTCAGATGAGGAAGTGAATCACTTTCAGGAAAGGACCAGAATGCTTTTATCACTTGATGAATAGTACGTGCAATATATTGACTAGATATTGAAACACGTCACTTTTCCTTTGTGAACGCTGTAGGTATCGGCAAATATTCTATAACGTTTTTCAATGACATTTATATGGATATTGCACACAGTTAATGAATCCGTTCGTCTTTTCAGGAACGCATAAGTGTTACTTAATTACATGGCAGTAGCTGCCAACTTACCATCACTGTGCAATATAGTGAGTGAGTTAATATTTAAAGTCAAATCGGCCGTATTTCAGTCACTTCATGACTAAGAATATTGTAAATGTACAAATAAATAAAAATAAAGTTATCACAGAAATAATTTAAAACTAAAATCTAAAACATTTTAACTATAAATAACAATACAATATAAAAACAGGCTATATATAACAACTGAAGGTAGATCACCATACTAGGGACCATAGGGACTTACAGTACATCCTGCATGGACCCCAGCTAGATAATGTGCATTATAACCATAAGCGATAAAAACAAGTTCATAATCATAAGAATACTCTACAGATTGTGTTGTAAATTCTCGGTCACTCATAGCTCAGATTTAGGGTGAGTGAGTTAGGTTTAAAGCCACCGTCAACATTATTGCGATCCCCGGCCGCGTCATACCAAAAGACGGTACTTGTTGATCCCTGCCTGGCGCTCGGCATTAACGGGTAAAACAAGGACTGGTCGGCTTGGAGTCAGTGTAATGTGTTTGAGTGGGGTGTTCATGCTTAACTGCGGCATAGTATCTCAGTGAGCTAGCACTATAGAACCAGGTTAAATCTGGGCTAGTACAAGCAGCCACACATACACATGCATGCACGTCGTTATGTGAGCGAAGTATTCTCAAGTACCACCTTAAACCCCATTTCACCTCACCTCACCTCGACATTATTGCAGTCATATAGCGGGATTACAGGTAAAATACTTCTATTTCTTGGACGAAACTCGGGAACCGTGCTTACAAACCTTGGAGCACAATGTAGAATCGGATATAAAACCACGATCAGAGGAAGGGACGATTTACCCGTACATCTGTGAATCAAGAAATACATGAAACTAAACATAATCACGAATCCCTCAAACTTTGACATACACAGTTTTTAATGACTGAAGTTCATTCTTAACATTCTGGTGCTTTTTCAGCGCGATTCGGACAACATATGCCATTCACGATAACAGTAATATTATACATACATTGTACTTCGAAATATGATAGTAATTATCTGGAAACGTTTCCAGACAGCGAGTGATTGTTTTACGGTTGTATATTTACTGGTTTAACGGGAAGTCTCGCCAATCAATTTTATACGCTAACTGAAGGATGATAAGATGGAGCACGATGTGCCCAAACATTATGAGAAAATGATTATACTAGAGCTCCCTCAGTGATCTGGTGGTGTCTGGCTTATCTATTTCATAGCAGTTAACAACTTCAAGGAAATCAAATTCTTGTGTCTGTATATCTGGTCAGACAAGTAATGCAGTGTCAGCGCATCGTGTATCATGATGAAATATTGCAACGATTTGTTGGTTTTCACTGAAGTTGAACAGACGCCTGTATGAGCATCTATGATTTATAGACTTTGCATTTCCATTTTCCATGGACCGGGGTAGAATAGGTCTTCAGCAACCCATTCTTGTCATAAAAGGCGAATATGCTTGTCGTAAAAGGCGACTAACGGGATCGGGTGGTCAGGCTCGCTGACTTGGTTGACACATATCATCGGTTCCCAATTGCGCAGATCGATGCTCATGCTGTTGATCACTGGGTTGTCTGGTCCAGACTCGATTATTTACAGACCGCCGCCATATAGCTGGAATATAACTAAACTCACTCACTCCATTTTCCATGAGCATGTAATATCATCCGTATTATGCGTTGACGTTTCTTACAGTATCTGTTGCAATTTCTACGTCACATACCCTTCATTTCAAGCAGCTGTACATGTAATGTGCAGTTATTAAAAATTGTGGACATGTCATCATTTTATAACTTTGACTATCTGGAAAATGTTAAGCTACAAAACAGCTTTCCTGAGCATTCATGGCACATTACAGTTAACAGAGGACTCCATTCCGACAATATCCTGAATCTGTGGGTACATTCTGTTAGGAATCACTATCAAATAGGTATGATATCAGGTTGGCGTGCAGGGGTGAGCGTATCCTTAGAAATGAGTGAGTGTATGAATGCATGTTGTTTAACGTGTCATCTGTGTTATAGCTCGGCGAATTGTTTTGAATTGAATCTGGCATTGACAAATCAGCAGTTGATCGGATTGCATTGCAACACAAGCAGCCAGTTTAAGCACTGTTGGCACCAACTCAACAAAACATGAGATACTCAAGGCGTCTGTTTCGTTATCCACACAGGACAGGAAAACAAACGCCTTTTACTGTTATCTGATTAAATCTAGTGGAGACCTCATTTTAGAGTAATAGAAAAACATGTCCCCAATCGCATTACACCACTGTGCATTGTCTGTTTGTATTACTAGTATGCAAAAACAAGCTGAGTTGTAGAAAGAAAGGAATTTTCAACCAGTTCAGAATCTTGTATTTTTATTGTTTGGGCTGCACTCAGCAATATTCCAACTGTCTGAGCGGTGTGTAAGTAATCGACCAGACAATCCAGTGACATCCATCACGTGCATCACTCTACACAAATTGGATATGATGGCATCCATCAACCAAGTCAGCGAGCCTGACCACGCGAGCCCATTGATCGCTTTTACGAAAAATATGGGTTGCTGAAGATCTTCACAGGTGATAAGTTCAAGAGGAACCATTCACATCAACATGTAATCTATTTGAATAATTTGCATTGTATGCATGTGATGGTTGCTTCTTGGAAATAACAAAACGACAATGTTTGTCACAAAAAATATTTGAATGAACATCAACTAGAGTGTTTGTGTTTAATCTGAAAGATGTCCATACAATACAGCAGACGTCATATACAGCGGAGACATCTAAATCAAATTATAGGCCATCGGTTTAAAATTACGTATCATCGCCTGGATAAATTCATTGATTTGTGAGTTGAGTCCCAAAGGGCAACTCCCTAGCACGTCAGTGCGAAAACGTCGAAGCAGCAAAACAAACATGGCGGACGATGCAGCGCAATGCTTGCTATGTGTAACATATCTATTATCTGATGTATGTGAACAGTCTAGCTTATTAGTCGGGTGTTTGTGTTAGTGGACGAATAATGTAAATAATTGATCAGATGCATTGTAAATGTTTGTGTATGCCCGGAAGGACGACGGTAATTGCTATTCAATCAGTTCATCGCCCCATTAAAGCATGACATTTGCGTAAATAATACATTGATTTCAGGAACTAAATTAGATTAGAACTGAACCACAAACGTCAACGTAAAATGCAAATTATCGGAAACATGTACATTTAGTGGTTGAGTTATTGGGTTTTGGAAATGGCGCAGACTACAGTAAGGATTTTATTTTAATGTCAAACACAAAACAAACACCAGCGGGAATTACATAATCACGTTTTATTTTCTATTGCAAGAGAAGTGTTGACTTTTGTTGCGTCTATTTAAAACACAGTCACATTCAATGACACGACGTTATACAATCAGCAGCCGACAACAGCGGTGAAGACATGTTTGTACATGTAGTCATGTAGATATATATAGACAGCAATCACAAGCCATGTAGCTATAGTTCACTGTAATGTGGAACACTGATGTCTGGAAATAATGTCCAGACTGCAACCATACCGACAGTTATCAATACTTCTTTGTTGATAGGAGAGATTCCGTTTCGTTGTATTCTTGTCATGAATTCGTCAACAGTAACAGTTTCCCTTTCGCTGACCATTTCATTAAGTAGATCCAGTATTTCTTAAAGGTTATCGGAGTTCCGAGAAAGATGCTGTCTGATACAAATGTATTCGACGCTACGACACAGGTATTACATTTCGTTTGTGTGATAGCAATACTTCGTGTAATTATATTAT